CAGGAACGATAATGCCTCTAGCAGTTCCTTTATTGTTCAGGATTATTTTGACTATCCTTGTGTGTGTGTGTGCGTGTGTGTGTGTGTGTGTGTGTGTGTGATTCCAAATGAAATTTGAGATTATTTTTTCAATTTCTGTGAAGAATTGTGTTGGAATTTTAATGGATATTGCATTGAATTTGCAGATTGTTTTTAGACGAATGGCCATTTTCACAATATTAATCCTACTGATCCATGATCATAGGAAACCTTTTCATCTTCTGATATCTTCTTTAATTTCTTTCTTCAATGTCTTAAAGTTTTTATTGTACAAGTCCTTCACTTACTTAGTTAAATTTATTCTAAAATATTTTATGGGTTTTGAGGCTACCTTGAATGGGATTATTTCCCAGAGTTTGTGATATGTTTTTTGTTGGTATATAAAAGGGCTACTGCTTTGGGGCTCTTAATTTTAAATCCTGCTACTTTGCTAAGTGTATTCACCAACTCTAGGAGTTTTCTGGTGAAGTCTTTAGAATCCTTTATATATAGAATCTGAAAATAAGGATACTTTAACTTCTACCTTTCCAACTTGTATCTCTTTTGTCGCCTTCATTTGTCTTATTGTTCTAGCTAAGACTTCAAGTACTACATCGAACATGAATGAACAAAGTAGACATCCTTTTCTTGTTCCTTATTTTAATGGGAATGCTTTCAGTTTTTCTCCATTTAGTATGATGTTGGCTGTGGGCTTGTGGTATACTGCCTTTGTTATGTTGAGATATGTCCCCCATTTTCCTATGCTTTCCATGACTTTTATTATGAATCAATGTTGGATTCTATCAAAGAACTTTTCAGTATCTAATAAGATGATAATGTGGTTTCTATCCTTGAGTCTGTTTATATGGTAGATTACATTTATTGATTTATATATGCTGAACCATCCCTGCATTTTTGGGATGAAACCAACTTGATTATGGTGGATAATCTTTTTTATGTGTTCTTGTATTTGGTTAGTAAGGGTTTTATTGAAGATTTTTGTGTTTATGTTTATCAGAGATATTGGCCTATGATTTGGGGGGAGAGGTCTTGTCTGGTTTTGGTATTAGAATAATACTGGCTTCATAGAAAGAATTTGGGGGTGTCTTTCCTAAAAGGATTTTTTTTTTGGTCTTTTTGAGACAGGGTCTCCCTATAGCTCCAGCTGCCTGTAACTCACTCTGTAGACCAGGCTGGCCTTGAACTCACAGAGGATCTGCCTGCCTCTGCCTCCCAAAAGGAAATTTTATGGACATAAGACAAAAACATGAAGAATTCAAGGGAGAGCAATTTCATATAAAAAAGATGATTGTCATCTCCCTTTATACCACTATTCATTCAACTCTTGTCTCTTCACTCTGCATCCAGCTGGCCTGGTGATTTAGTTTCAGTGCTTACCTTCCCTCTCTGGGCCAAATCTCAGCAGAGCAGACTAAACCATGCTGAACTGTTGCAGGGAAACTGGTAGGATCATGTACGTCTTGAAAATAGTTCAACTGTGATCTTCCATTGTATGAGTAACCAAAGTGTGGTGGTGAGGGAAGCCACTTCAAGCATTTTAAATCTTCATTCAAAATTATCATATGCTTGTTAATCAAAATACTTTGGCCAGTGTAAATGCAAATCTCTGGAAAGTGTATCAGAATCAATTTGAGATGGATGAGGCTCTGCTAAGACTAAGTTCTTGAGAATACCTGACAGCCAATTTATATACAATTAAAATTATACATTTATACATGAACAGGGCATTTGTTTTAAAAATAGTAAGATAAACAATAAGATTCTTTCATGAAGGGACATAAAAAGTCAACCAAATGAAAAAAAAGGAGAATTCCAAATATAAATATTGCCTATTTATACTGTTTTGCCAAAGTAGAATTTTAAAATTACAGATGAGTGCCCCTGAAAAGGACAACATTGATTTACAGACATCAAAGCAAAAAAAGGAAAAGTGACTTGCTTGGACCACAAAACTATGGAAAAGCAGAGCGTAGAATCTGGGTGACCTATCAGTCCATCATCAGTCCACACTGAGTGTCGGTATCCCCTGTCCCTACCTACTGTTGCTGAACTGGAAAACTGGGCTCCTGGCAAAAAAGGACCCATGACTGTGGGCATCTCAGCCAGGCAGCAGGTGAAGTGCAGAACAAGGTCGAGTTGTGCACTGCACACAGTGAGACTTGGATATGTGCAGTGGGAAGAAACTTCACAGGCCTTTCAAAGGGAGTAAAGTGCTTGGGAGCTTGTTTTAAAGGATCAGAAAGCTCCTTGCTCTTTTCTATTCCTTTCATGTGCGCAGTAAAAGAGTATTCATTCAGTGTAGGTTTTTGAGTGTGAGGCCAAGAGAGTTTCTGATGAAACTGCTCCTTAGTGACAGTATTTCAACAAGACAACTCCAGTGCAGACCCAGGTATTGGTATTTGAGCCTTCCTTTTAGCTATCTGACATCAGCTTCCAAACAGCCTCTCTCCCACGTGTTTAAACTTTTACCTGTAGACACATCCCAATGGAGGAAGTTATCAGTTATAAGCATCAGTACATGCTCTGCACCTCTCATGCAATGGATGCTCCTTCAGACCTAGCTCTGGAATCTGGCTTGTTCCTCCCTTTGAATCCTATAACATGAAAATAGAAATCTGTAATCTGCGTGCATGTGTGCACGTGTGTGTGTGTGTGTGTGTGTGTGTGTGTGTTAGTGCAAGCCCTTTATGTACCAATTTCCCTTTCATTCAATAAATGCAATTGATAAATATTCTGACATTTGCTTAAGTTGCCTGTTTGCTTCTGGAATACTTCCTTGTTAAATGTTTCCTTCTCCTTTAAGTTAAATAAGCTTACCATAGTCCATTAAGATTGTCATTTTGTCTGAGGACCATGGGTAAAGACTGGCAGGTAGGATTTCACTCTTATCTTTGTCTGATCAGAAGAGGAAGTCTTGCTAGTCTCTCTTTAGCTTCAAGCTGATTATTGGCCTCACAGTCACACAAAGGGAAATGACTTCTCTCCACACCTGAAGGCATTTGGGGTGCAATCTGTGTGTTACTTACAGACCTGCTAAAAGGAATGGCTATTCTCTTAATCTGCATGTTTTCATTTGTGCATGTTGAGAATGGACAGTAAACAAACTAAGGCACAGAAGCTTTCATGGGTTTGTGTTGAACAATAACAACAAGTACTGGTAAGAAAGGGGGAGACAAGTCCTTCGCACATCTATACTTTAGTAACTGACACCGTTACAAGATATTGCTACACAGACCTTCTGAAATGACCACAATTAGTATTTTCCCCAAATGTGGGCTAAAATGAACATGTACAGGAAAAGACTTTCCATCTACTAAATTTGAAACATCTGTCCTCATTTGAAAATGTATGATGTTTGACAAGCAGAAGGTAATAATCTTAAAGTTGTGAACACAAGAGAAACTGCTGATAGGCTGTGGAATTAAAATGAAAGAGTTTTAATTCTTTATTAGGGTAGAATTGTGGTTCTTGAAATTTAACATGGGTTAGCACTGAGGGAAGATACTTTTAGTACAATGATTGTATTATTTTATCTATATCTGTTTTAGGTGTATGCTTTAAATATACACAAATTTGCAAATTCTTGATGAGAATCTCAGAAACAAGAGTGAGAATCAATGTTGATGCCATGCTGTGTGAGTACAATGCATAACACCCATTGATAATGTGTGCCTTGCCCTTGACAGTTGGAAATGGTCAAATGCCTACAAGAAAGGCATTTTGCTGTTGCGCCCACCCTGGCCAGCAAGGAAGACACAACCTCCAGTTCCTTCTCGTCAGCAATCTTTATTGCAGGAATCAAGTTGAGTTACAGCGATGTCGCGGACGGCGAGCCCCGATCCACCTCGGGAGCAAGCTTATATATATAACAGGCAGGCGAGAGAATTCTATCCCCTATTGGAGGATTTACTGGCTGCCAACCGTCACCTTATAAGGAAGGCAAGCATACTAGTCCCCTTAGATTGGCCAAGCTGGCGTGTCATCTGTAACCAGGAAGAAACAGCTAGAACAGGATCGAGCTAAGATGGCGGAATGCGGAAGTATGTGGATGCTACCACAACAATCAACAGTCCAACCCAACCTTAATCCTAGCAACGATAGTGACTGGCATGGCAAACTACCTCTATTGGTGCTGTATTGGCACTGTTATACGGGGGCCATCAAAAATTATCTAATTGAACTTAAAACCCTCTCAATGGGAGCGAACTCATGGGTGGCACTGTAAACTCAACCAAATACTCATCACAGGACAGAACATTGATCCTAGAGAAAACTATT